CCACGCCTGGCTAATTTTTATATTTTCAGTAGAGACAGGGTTTCACCATCTTGGCCAGGCTGGTCTTGAACTCCTGACCTCATGATCCACCTGCCTTGGCCTCCCAAAGTGCTGGGATTACAGGCGTGAGCCACCACGCCCAGCCCTGTGCCCAGCTGTTTTAAAAACATTTTGTAGAGATGGAGTCTTGCCATGCTGCCCAGGCCGACTTTGAACTCCTGGGCTCAAGAGATCTCCCACGTTGTTCTCCCAAAGTGTTAGGATTACATGCGTGAGCCACTGTGCCTGGTCCAGCCTAGAGTTCTATAACCATCTAAAACAATCAAGTATCAGGGCAGAACAAAGTTACTTTCTGGTATACAGTCTTAATTATTTTAACCTTGGTTTGAACCACATGAAGAGATAAACCCGAAATGAAGCACAGAGCTATTAGGAAACAGGGGACCTAATAGGACAGAGGGTGAAAGTAAAGGTGGTCACAGCATTGCAGCAGAGCCTCTGCCCAGAGAGCCGCCAGTCCTGGCTGGAACAGGAGGCTGCACAGCCGGGGACACTCTCTATGGAAAACACCAGAACCAGTGGGGCCTCTGATCCACTTCACCCTCTGAGCAATAGTCTGTAGTTTGTAGAAAACTATGGAGATGCTGTGGGAGAACATGGGGAAAGTTAGCAAATGAAAAGAGAAGGCAGGTTGGGTGTGGTGGCTCATGTTGGTAATCCCAGCATGTTGGGAGGCTGAGGCGGGCGGATCACCTGAGGTCAGGAGTTCAAGACCAGCCTGGCCAGCATGGTGAAACCCCGTCTCTACAGTAAAAATATAAAAATTAGCTGGGCATGGTAGCACGTGCCTGTAGTCCCAGCTACTCTGGAGGCTGAGGCAGGAGAATCACTTGTACCCAGTGGGCGGAGCTTGCAGTGAGCCGAGAGATTGCGCCACTGCACTCCAGCCTGGGCATCAGAGCGAGACTCCGTCTAAAAAAAAAAAAAAGAGAAGCCGTCATCAGTGGTAGGAAAACAAAAAGCTATCCAAGGAAATAGTCTGCCCCTTGACCCAGCAAAGAACATTTAGATAGAGGTACTAGCTGAAACACTGAATGTTCTTTTAACAAAAAACTGAGTCTTGGAAAGGGTAGTGGAAGGAGAGGCAGATACTGGTCTAGAGTAGGAAATGCACAGATGTGAACTCGATCATCCGGTGAGAGCAGCATGAGCTGAAAGGGTGCAGGGAGGCTTTGGGGAGTGGGATGGGAGCAGAGTGTGCACCACAGCCTTTGACAACTGGTGATTCTAAGCTGTGGGCATGGAGACTTTTGACACTATTTAATTTCAAAAATAGTGCAGGTGATTCTTTCCTCTGTCCTTGGTGAGTTGCGTGAGCCTGGAGGTGTGCAGGCTCCCTGCGCTGCCATGTCGGGCCCCATGCCTCGCCTGCATGGCCTGTCCACTCCGAGCAGAGCCCAGCGTTTAGGTGCGTGTTATGTGTCATCACACAAAGCCTCTGTGTGCAAGTGTGATGAGGTACACAGCCTTCCATCACTGTGGCTGGAGGTGCCTGCCACATGCAGTATTGGCTCCCCCGTACTTAGGGCTTGGCCCTACCTGCTGTGTAGCCCATACCCTGCATGGTTAGAAAAAACAAGGTCACTCTTGACTTTCTGGCTTAGAAGCTGACCTTAGATGCTAGCTGAGGTTAATGTTTTACTGAATTGGAAAAAGAGAAAGCTCCAGTATCACGGGCACACCGAGAATGTTTCCAGAAGCCACAGAGATTTGTAGCTGGGATATTGGGAGAAGCCTCGGACTCACACGTTTGCATCGTCTAGTCCCATACTAACTGTGTGATTCCGGGGTCAAGCTGGGTAGGAGAACCTAGCCCCTGCATCCACACACTGAGTGCCGCCATCCAGACCCTCACCTGCTTGTGTGGACTGAACGTGAGATCTTCGTGAGTCTGTAGTCCCCACAGGCCACGCTCCTGCTCGCAGCTGCCTCCTTGGGGGGAGCGTCACAGCTTTCTCTCTCCTCCTTGGCCTCTAGGCATTGAAGTGGATATTGACGTGGAGCACGGCGGGAAAAGAAGCCGCCTGACCCCTGCCTCTCCAGAGAGTTCCAGCACAGAGGAGAAGAACAGCTCACAGCCAAGCAGCTGCTGCTCTGACCCCAGCAAGCCGGGTGGGAATGTTGAGGGCGCCACGCAGTCTCTGGCAGAGCAGATGAGAAAGATCGCCTTGGAGTCCGAGGGGCGGCCTGAGGCAAGCCTGTGCCCCTGCCACCACCTGGGACCCGGGCAGCCTAGGGATCTGTAGCTGCACCTCCGCCTCCTCCTCAGCACCTATGCAGCCGCTTATGAAACCCGAGGGAGCTGCTGCTGCTGCAGTGATGTCTGTGCCATTAAAGTCACTCTGGGAACCTGCTAGAACTTTGTAGTTACTTGGTCTTTGCGAGTGGCTCACTGATCCCCGTAGCCCCCTGCAGCCTTAAACACGTGTGTGCGTGCATGCTCCCCGACTGTTTGCCAGGAGTCAGTGCCATGGTCAGGCTTGGCCTGTTGCGCGTGCCTCTCGTGTGCTCATGGTGGGTTCTGTTCCAGGAACAGATGGAGTCTGATAACTGTTCAGGAGGAGACGATGACTGGACCCATCTGTCTTCAAAAGAAGTGGACCCGTCCACAGGTGAACTCCAGTCCCTACAGATGCCAGAATCCGAAGGGCCAAGCTCTCTGGACCCCTCCCAGGAGGGACCCACAGGGCTGAAGGAAGCTGCCTTGTACCCGCATCTCCCACCAGGCAAGTGAACCAAGAGTTCTGTGTTCAGTCCTACCTTTCCCTTCAGAGCATCCTGCCCCCCGATTCCAGCGACACAAACAGGATGGGACGTTCTCCACTGCAGGGCTTGTCTGTAGGTGTGGGAGGTTAGGAGTTGGTTTTGTCCTCTTATGTCTACCCTGAGCAGCAGTGAGTAAGCGCTGCTAATGCAGGAGTTCTAAAAATGTTTTTCTTTAAGCAAACTCCAGAGCCAGGAATATTAATTGTAGGAGTTTCTAAAACTTAACATGCAGACCAGGAATTAAGGTAGGTGTGACACAGAGAGGGGGCAGCACTGGGTGTGTCCCTACTACTCACACTGGGCTCAGACCTCTTCAGTGTCTCCTCAGGGAGTGCTGGTCTGAGTGGGGGTCATAGCCAAGATCCCTGGAGGAGCCAGGCAGAAGCCACCGTTGAAGTGGATGGTGTGGAAGGCAGCGGTGGGGGGTGGGGACAGCTGACAGAGACTCCTCATTGTCACTGCAGCCGTGTGGAAACCAAGGTCTGTGCACAACCTGCTGTGCGCTGCCAGAGTGTGTCTTCTCTGCCTTAGGGCAGGGGATGGCGAGCTATGGCCTGTGGGCCAAGAGTAGTTCTTGTATTTTTCAATCAAAAGATGTGACAGTTAGAGGAAATGCGTATTTCAGTGTCCAGCGATAGTTTTGTTTACATACCACCTGGCTGCCTTGTGTCACAGTGGCAGAGTTGAGCAGTGTGAAAAAGACTGGTTGGCCCTTTACAGGGAAAGCAGGTCCACTGTGGCCTGTGAGGGCCAGAGCTCTGGGCACTCGGATACTGGCAGGCCCTGGTCCCGCTGGCCAAGGCAGGAGGGTGTGTGTTTCGGGTCACTCACAGGGCTCAGCATCACTCCTCATGGCTTCCTTCCTGTTTTGGCAGAGGCTGACCCGCGGCTGATTGAGTCCCTCTCCCACATGCTGTCCATGGGCTTCTCTGACGAAGGCGGCTGGCTCACCAGGCTCCTGCAGACCAAGAATTACGACATCGGGGCGGCTCTGGACACCATCCAGTATTCAAAGCACTCCCCGCCATTGTGACCGCTTTTGCCCACCTCTTCTGTGTCCCCCTCTTCTGTCTCGTAGCTGTTAAGCTAGTGTAGAATTGCAGGTCTCTGTACGGGCCAGTTTCTCTGCCGCCTTCCAGGATCAGGGGATCAGGGGTTAGGGTGGAAGAAGCCATTTAGGGCAGCAAAACAAGTGACATGAGGGGAGGGTCCCCGTGTGTGTGACGTCTGAGAAGCAAGACCGGTCTTCTGGTCTCCTGGGTGCTCTGGTTCCCTGCAGCAGGGCTGGGCCTGCGAGACCTGAGGCTCACCGCAGCGCTCCTGGCCCCTCCCTGCAGGGGCCACATTAGCAGCCCAGACATAGCTTGCCTAATGGCCTTCCACTTTCTCTTTTTAAATGACTCGGAGGTCCCTGACATTTAGTTGATTTTCTGCTAGAGACCTGGTATGCTCTGATTTTAGATAAAGGAAGCCTAGGTGTTGTCGGCGGGTAAGCAGGGGAGGCAGCTGTCCTGGCACAGGCAGTGGGGAGGCCGGGGCAGCCAGTGTGGTGGGCTTCCTGCTGGGACTGAGAAGGCTCATGCAGGGCATCCGTAATGTTGGTTTCGCTGAGAGCCGCCTCCTGGTCTCTCCACCACTGTAGTTCTCTCATTGCCAAACCATCAGCTGCTTTTAAAATAAGATCTCTTTGTAGCCATCCTGTTACGTTTGTAAACAATCTAATTAAATGGCATCAGCACTTTAACCAATGACATCTGCATAGAGAGAAATCTGTTTGACAGTAAGTTTATTGGTGGTGCTTACACAGTATCTTTAAAAGTGCCTTAGGGAACCCTGTCCCTCCTAACAAGTGTATCTCGATTAATAATAACCTGCCAGTCACAGATCATCATCAAAGTCTTCACCAGTTGTAAAGAGGTCACACAGTCGTGGGAGTCGGGGATTCTGTGTCTCCTGGACCAGGGGCCCACCCTCTGCCCAGGGAGTCCTTGCGTCCCATGAGGTCTTCCCGCAGGGCCTCTCAGGCCCGGATGTGGTGGGGTGTGTGGCCCGAGGAAGCTGGACAGCGTCGGTGGGCCTGCTGAGGCCTTCCCTTGAGGCCTGTGCTCTGGGGGTCCCGGGGGGCCCCTGCTTAGCCTGTGCTGGAGCAGCTGGCCCGGGATCCCTCTGAAGAGGCGTTGGCTGCTCTCTGTCCACATGCGAACTGTTTCTAGGTGACAGGACAAATTGCGCCCATTTAGAGGAGGTGGCGGTGACCTGCTGGGCAGGACTCCATAGCTCCTTCCCAGGACCCCTCGGCTCCCTGGCACTGCAGTCGGCAGCGTTCTCCCGGAGGCAGGGGCTGCTGCCTTGCTTCACCTTCCATGTCAAGCCAGCTTGTCCCTGAAAGAGAAGATGGCCATGCCCTCCATTTGTAAGAACAATGCCAGGGCCCAGCAGGACCACGAGCCCTGCCTGGGCCTTGGCTGGGCCTCTGGTTCTGACACTTTCTGCTGGAAGCGGTCAGGCTGGGACAGGCTTTCATTTTGAGAGTTAGCAAGACAAAGCAAATAAATGCCTTCCACCTCACCCCAAACCATCTGCTAAATTGCATGACCAGGCTTTCCAAAAACAAGACACGTCATCAGGTGATCCATCTCCTGGGGACCTTAGAATCGGGTCACTAGTGCCTACAAAGGTTTGAGCAGGGAGGGCCTGGAGACGCCTGGAAAGGGGTGGGCTGGCTCCATCCTGCCATGTCCCACCTGGGAGCAGCTCTCCAGAGCCTGCCGGGTTCTGCAGCTGCACAGGTGGCAGCACCGAGCTCCCGGCGGGATAGAAAAGCTGGGGTCTGGCTTCTCTCACCCCAGGAACCAAAGAGGCTCTGAAAGTTGGGTGTAGGCCGGGTGCAGTGGCTCACGCCTGTAATCCCAGCACTTTAGGAGGCTGAGGCGGGCAGATCACCTGAGGCCAGGGGTTCGAGACCAACCTGGTCAACAAAATGAAACCCTATCACTACTAAAAATACAAAAATTAACCAGGCATGGTGGCACATGCCTGTAATCTCAGCTACTCAGGAGGCTGAGGCAGGAGAATCACTTGAACCTGGGAGGCAGAGGTTGCAGTGAGCCGAGATCATGCCATTCCACTCCAGCCTGGGCAACTGAGTGAGACTCTGTCCCAAAAAAAAAAAAAGAAAGAAACTTGGGTTGTAGACTGGGAGCAGTGGCTCATGCCTGAATCCCAGCACTTTGGAAAGCCGAGGCAGATTGGAATGCTCAAGCAGATTGCTTGAGTCCAGGAGTTTGAGACCAGCTTGGGAAACATGATGAAACCCCCCCCTACAAAAAATTAGCCAAGCGTGGTGGTGAGTGCCTGTGATCCCAGCTACTCGGGAGGATCACTTCAGCCCGGGAGTTGGAGGCTGCTATGAGCTGAGATGGCACCACTGCACTCCAGCCTGGGTGACAGAGTGACACCCTGTCTCAAAAACAGAAGGCTGGGGGTGGTGGGTCAAGCCTGTAATCCCAGCACTTTGGGAGGCCGAGGCGGGTGGATCACTTGAGGTCAGGAGTTCGAGACCAGCTGGCCAACATGGTGAAGCCCTGTCTCTACTAAAAATAGAAAAATTAGTCGGGCGTGGTGGCGCCTGCCTGTAATCGCAGCTACTCGGGGCTGAGGCAGGAGAATTGCTTAAACCTGGGAGGCGGAGGTTGCAGTGAGCTGAGATGCCATTGCACTCCAGTCAGGAGAACAAGAGTGAAACTCCATCTCAAAAAAAGTTGGGCTGGGCCGGGCGCGGTGGCTCAAGCCTGTAATCCCAGCACTTTGGGAGGCCGAGACCATCCTGGCTAACACCGTGAAACCCCATCTCTACTAAAAAAATACAAAAAACTAGCCGGGCGACGTGGCGGGCGCCTGTAGTCCCAGCTACTCGGGAGGCTGAGGCAGGAGAATGGCGTGAACCCGGGAGGCGGAGCTTGCAGTGAGCTGAGATCCGGCCACTGCACTCCAGCCTGGGCGACAGAGCAAGACTCCGTCTCAAAAAAAAAAAAAAAAAAAGTTGGGCTGTACTGCTTACAAAGGGATGTGAAAGCAACAACAGAGTGGGTCCCTGCAGCGCTGCCACCCAGGCAATCTGGAAGAGGCCCTGACACTTGATGTCAGCTTTGCCACTGAACTTGCCATGACCGCACACAAACTACAAGCCTCAGTTTCTCACCTTTAAAACAAAGCAACAGGCTTGAGGGAGCATGAAACACAATGATACCATTACAACGTGCAGCCCAGGGACGGACCCATGGTAGACTCTAGTCATTCTTCTAGGATTTGGAGATTCGAGGCCACATACTTACCCAGGATCACAAAACTCATTGGCAACAACATCAAAGTTTGACTTCTGCCTCTTGGCATGAGCCAGTGCTCTGTGCGTGGTGCGAGGCCAGCTGAGGCCGACCTTGGCTGACGTGGGGGTGGGGGCAGTGACTGATGCCCACTGGACTCCCAGCTGCAGTGCCCTTGCTGTCCCCTGGCTCCTGTGACAGGCAGAGCACACCCTGCACTCTGCAGCACTGGATATGCAGTGGGGCCTGCTAGATTGGAAGCTTCAAGAACAAGACAACCGGGCCAGGCGCGGTGGCCCACACCTATAATCCCAGCACTTTGGGAACTGGGAAGATTGCCTGAGCTCAGGGGTTTTGAGACAAGCCTGGGCAACACAGTGAGACCATGTCTCTAAAATTCTTTTTTTTCTGTCGCCCAGGCTGGAGTACAGTGGTGCGATCTCGGCTCACTGCAACCTGCGTCTCCCAGGTTGAAGCAATTCTCCTGCCTCAGCCTCTCGAGTAGCCGGGATTACAGGTATATGCAACCACGCCCAACTCATTATTTTTAGTAGACAGGGTTTCTACTATTTTTAGAGACAGGGTTTCACCATGTTGGCCAGGCTGGTCTCAAACTCCTGACCTCAGGTGATCCACCCGCCTCACCCTCCCAAAGTGCTGAGATTACAGGTGTGAGCCACCGCACCTGACCTCTACAAAATATTTTTTTAAAATTAGCCAGTGTGGTGGTGCACATCTGTAGTCCCACCTACTTGAGGGGCTGAGGCAGGAGGATCACTTGAGCCTGGGTGGTTGAGGCTTCAGTAGGCTCTGACTGTGCCACTGCACTCCAGCCTGGGTAGACAGAGTGAGACCCTGTCTCAGAAAACAAAAATGAACAAGGCAACACCCTAAGTGAAGAGCGTCTCACACACAAGAGTCCACACCTGGGCAAATGCCAGTGTGGAGGGAAGCATCTCCCAGGATTCAGGGCGGGCCCACAGACTGCTCCTGCCTGGACAAAGGTCCCCGTGCTCCCTGCAGAATGAGACGACGGCCCTGACCCAGAAAATCCAACCTTAGTTGCTCCCAGGTGTCACGATGCTCTTTGGTCCTGAGCTACCCTCACGGGAGACGAGAGGCATGGGAGAGAAAAGGGGGTAGAGACCCAAGGAAGGAGTTGGCTTCACACAGAAAAGACAAGAAACCCAGGTGGTGAGATGGGCTTTCTGCGGTTAGGAATCTTATACTTTGTCACCTGTGACAAAAGACAAAATTATCCCACACATACTCAGTGGTCACTGGGACCACAGAGAAACTGTTCTCTGTCACTGACCTTCTGGGGTTCCCAGGCGACCTCAGAGCCACCCGAGTCCTGGATGCCAAGGCTGCACGGAGGCTGGATGGTGCTCTGGCTCCACTTCCTGTCAGGACAGTACTGTCAGTGGTCCCGTGCTACTCTCCAGTGGCACCCCAAGCCTGACTCCACGATCACATGGCCCACAAGCTCGGGTGGCCGCCTGCTCATCCCGACAGCTTCCCAGGCAGCTGCTCAGGCTGTCCAGCCACCGCGCAGGCCCCACTCCCCGCTTCACAGCTTCTAGTTGCTAGAAAGTTGTGTTTTTCTTTTACGCAGGGTCTCACTGGCACCCAGGCTGGAGTGCAATGGCTCACTGCAGCCTTGACCTCCTGGGCTCCGGTGATCCTCCTGCCTCAGCTTCCCAAGTAGCTGAGACCACAGGCAGGCACCACCATGCCCCATGAATTTGTTTAAAAACTTTGTTGTACAGATAGGGTCTCCCTATGTTGCCCGGACTGGTGTCAAATGATCCTCCTGCCTCAGCCTCCCAAAGTGCTGGGATTACAGGTGTGAGCCATTGTGCCCAGAGGAATGTTCTGGTTTGAAAGCAGAATCTACCTCCTGAAAGCACCTGCCCTCTAAGAGCCACCCTAGATCCTTAGCCTAAAGCAGTCTCTCCAAAAAACTCACTGAAATGCCTGAAGCAGAAGAAACCTTCCTTCAAGTCTGAGGTCTCTGCTTCTCTGTGCTAAAAGCTCTCAGGCCTGTCAGCTACTCTGGCCACTTCCCTGAGGTCAGTATAGTCTGAGATGTTCAGAATTAAGTGGGCATCATAAAGGGTATGCATACTGGTGTCCTGCCCAGCCTTTGCCTCTGCACCAGCAGTGGCAGCAGCTGCCCATTGCCACTTGCCACCTAGGCTTCCCCCACTTGGCTGATGCTCACAGTGGCTCACTGGTGCCCCACTGCTGGAGGCAGCATAGGCTCTGGGCCAGGGCTGGACCGGAGTCGCACTTGGCACCTTTTTCTAGGCAGGTCTTGGCTGAGGCGGGGGCCTGGCTCCTCCGTTTTGGATGAAGGCTGTTCGCTGAAACACACTCCTCTTCCTCCCAGCTCCAGTTCTTGGGAGTCCCTTTCTAGATACTTCAGCCAGCGACTCTCCGAGGGCTGCGATGTTTCCTATCAGAATGGGGAAATAGTTGATTCTCAGTACTGGAAAGCAGGCAGTTTTATTGAAAACCCCTAGCCCAACTCTTGTGCCTGAGGGTCTCAGGGGTCACGTCCAGCTCCACGCTAGGGAAGGCAGTGGCTGGAAGGTGATGGACACCAATACCCTGTGACGCTGGCAGGACAGTGCTCACTGGTACAGGCCTTGGGAAGGCGGCAGGGCACGGCCCACCAAGAATCTCATGAATATCTATGCTCCCTGGCCCAGTGATTCCACACAAAGAGAGAAGGCAGAGGTGCCAGTCCCAGTGTTACAAAAAGTAGCAAATTTTATTTATAAGAACACAAGTGGCCAGGTGCAGTGGCTCACGCCTGTAATCCCAGCACTTTGGGAGGCCGAGGCGGGTGGATCACGAGGTCAGGAGATCAAGACCATCCTGGCTAACACAGTGAAACCTCATCTCTACTAAGAAAAAAAAATACAAAAAACTAACCGGGTGTGGTGGCGGGCGCCTGGAGTCCCAGCTACTCGGGAGGCTGAAGCAGGAGAATGGTGTGAACCCGGGAGGCGGAGCTTGCAGTGAGCCGAGATTGTGTCATTATACTCCAGCCTGGGACTCCGTCTCAAAAGAAAAAAAAAAAAGAACAGAAGTGTGGAAACATGGCCAGGCGCCGTGGCTCACACCTGTAATCCTAGCACTTCAGGGGGCTGAGGCGGGCGGGTCACCTGAGCTCAGGAGTTAAAGACTAGCCTGGGCAACATGGTGAAACCCCATCTCTACTAAAAATACAAACATTAGCTGGGTGTGGTGGTGTGCGTCTGTAATCCCAGCTGCTTGGGAGGCTGAGGAAGGAGAGTTGCTTGAACCCAGGAGGCAGAGGTTGCAGTGAGCCGAGATCGCGCCACTGCACTTCAGCTGGGGGACAGGCTGAGACTGTCGAAAGAAGGAAAGGAGAGGAAAGAAGGGAGGAAGGGAGGGAGGGAGGAAGGGAGGCAAGCAGAAATGTGGAAACAACCTAAATAACATATAATAAAGGAACCAATACTAGTACATCTACTACATTCTGTAAATACTTTGTTTTTTTGAGATGTTGGGACTCCAGTGAGCAGTGATCATGCCTCTGCACTCCAGCCTGGGCGACAGAGGGAGACCCTGTCTCAAAAATAAGTAAGAAATGAAAATCACTGAAAACTATACCGCAACATAGAAAAATGATACAACTGAAAACTAGGATGCAAAAAAGTATTTCTGATGAGAATGATATAAAATTAAGTCTGTAAATGGACCAAATTGGAAGCACAGACACAGGTACCAGAAGAGCATCTTCCTCTGCTTGTAACAAAGTGTGAATCTGGCCAGGTGCATTGGTTCATGCCTGTACTCCCAGTACTTTGGGAGCCGAGGCAGGAAGACGGCTTGAGCCCAGGAGTTCGAGACCAGCCTAGGCAACACAGGGAGAACCTGCCTCTACAAAACAGACACAAAATTAGCTGGGTGTGGCAGGGCACATTTGTAGTCCCAGTTACTAAGGAGCCTGAGGTGGGAGGATTACTTAAGTCCAGGAAGTCAAGGCTGCAGGGAGCCATGATCGCTCCCTGCATTCCAGCCTGGGCGACACAGTGAGACCTTGTTTCAAACAAAACAAAACAAAACAAAACAAAACAAAACAGCTTGCAGTCTGGAACAAGGAAAGAAGGAAACCCAGGTGTTTTATCCCATTATTCTCTCCCTCTCAGAGGTATGCCCAGAGTGCTGTGGGAGCAAAGTAGAAGCAGTAAGGTGATATTTGAGCTACATTCAGGAGTTCTCCAAGCAGATACGAGAGTCCTTTGCAGGGTACTGTAATGATTGGTACACGTGGCTATCTCCATCCTTAGAAAAGGTACAGGTTTATTTATTTTTGTGTTCCCTGCAGCTTTAAGTCAACTGCCTGTAGGGTGGCATCAACACACATTTGCTCTACGAATGACTACTGGATACATCTGTGCATTCATCCCTTCCCTGACACAGAGCCAGCCTGGGGCAGGTGGGCCTGAGGCTTACCTGCTGCTTCACATTCCCAGCCTGCTGGTGGCCCACGTTTTCTTCTTCACCAGCACTGACAGTTTCTTCTACAGACCTTCAGGGAAGACCATACATATGCCCTTTGAAAAATGACCAGGGGCTGGGCACAGCGGCTCACTCCTGTAATCCCAGCACTTTGGGAGGCTGAGGCAGGTGGATCACCTGAGGTCAGGAGTTCGAGACAAGTCTGGCCAACATGGTGGTGCATATCTATAATCCCAGCTACTTGGGAGGCTGAGACAGGATAATCGTTTGAACCCAGGAGGCGGAGGTTGCGGTGAGCCAAGATTGCTAGAACATGGAATCACATGACAATGGAGATAAGTTGCAGCTTCAACCTCCCTGGGCTCAGGTGATCCTCCCACCTCAGCCTCCTGAGTATCTGGGACCACAGGCACCCACTACCACGCCTGGCTAAATTTTTTTTTTTCCTTTTTTTTGTAGAGAGGGTTTTGCCATCTTGCCTAGGCTAGTCTCAAACTCCTGGGCTCAAGTGATCTACCCACCTCAGCCTCCCCAAGTGCTGGGATTACAAGCGTGAAGTATGCATCCAGCTGTTATTTGATTTTAAAAATCATTTTTCCAATTGCCCACTGCATATATATAGAAATACAATTTAATTTTGTATGTTGACCTTGTATCCTTGTGATCTTGCTAAATTATTAGTTCTAGTAGCTTTTTTGTAGATTCATTAGAATTTCCTACATACACAATCACGCTATTTGCAAATAAAATAATGGTTTTATCCAGTTTGGTATTTACTGCATTCCCTTAATCTAAAAATGTTATGTCTGTGATTCTGGAAAAAGCTGCTCTTATCTCTTCAGTTACTGCTTTTGCTCCATTCTCTTAATTATCTTTTGCTAGAACTCTCCTCTGTAACCTCCATGTCCCTCAACTTTCCCTTATATTTTCTACTTTTCCATTTTTCTGTGTTGCACTGTGAATAATTTTTTAGATTTATCTTCCATTTCACTAATTCTCTCTTAGCTGCATTTAATCTGTTTAACGTGTTCACTGAATTTTTCTTTTTTTTTTTTTTTTGAGATGGAGTCTTACTCTGTCACCCAGGCTGGTGTGCAGTGGCGCAATCTTGGCTCACCACAACCTCTGCCTCCTGGGTTCAAGTGATTTCCAGCTAATTTTTGTATTTTTAGTAGAGATGGGGTTTCACTATGTTGGCCAGGCTGGTCATGAACTCCTGACCTCAAGTGATCTGCCTGCCTTGGCCTCCCAAAGTACCAGGATTACAGGCATGAGCCACTATGCCCGGCCTAAACTGGATTTTTAATTTTAGTGATTATACTTTTAAGTTCTGCAAACTCTTTTTTTTTTTTTTTTTTTTAAGACAGAGTCTTACTCTGTTGCAGGCCTCACTTGAGCCTGGGAGGTGGAGGCTGGCTCATTGCAACCTCCACCTCCCAGGCTCAAGCGATTCTTATGCCTCGGCCTCCAGAGTAGCTGGGATTACAGGCACGTGCCACCACACCCAATTAACTTGTATTTTTAGTAGAAGCGGAGTTTCACCATGTTGGCCAGGCTGGGTCTTGAACTCCTGACCTCAAATAATCCGCCTGCTTTGGCCTCTCAAAGTGCTGGGATTACAGGTGTGAGCCACTGCACCTGGCCTCTTTTCGGTTCTTTTTCAAATACACCTTTTTTTGGATGAGGGCGATCTGGCTGCAATATCTGTCACCCCATCAGTCACCAACGTTGGTTAGCTCATCTGGCTGGTGTCCCCGTCCTCCCTCACCGCTCCACGTGTGTCCCTCCTGAAGCTGTGCGCTTGGCTGAAGAGGACCACCACCTCCAATAGAGGAGGAGCGGTCTTCGGTCCAGGGTATATGAGTAGCTGCACCCCCCTGCTAAAACCTCCAAACAAGCTCTCAAATACACCTATTTTTTGAAGTCCCTCATCTTATCACCCACTTCTTTTATTTTATTAAGTATATTAAACATGCAATATCATGTATTCTGAAGTCTTTATGGGTCCGACTTTTCGGACTGTTGTTCTGCTATCTTTTGCTCCTGGTGACATATTTCCTTGAATGTTAAATGATTTTCAACTCCTGAGTACATGCTACTTGGAACTTTTTCTGTGGGAATTCTTTAAGGCCCGGCAACTGAAGATATACTGCTGCAGAGAGGAGCTGCATTCACCTCTGCTCGCTGGGACAATTAGAAGATAAATTTTCCGCTTGAGGCTTTTCACACAGGGTATGTAAAAGGATGAAAAACCATGCAACAACTTCCTTTTATTTCCAAAATCTTAGAGCTATTTCCCCCTCTTCAGCCATTGCCAAGGTCAATACAGGCAGGCTGCCCGCTGCAGAGGGGATCTAGTTCATTCGTACACGGAGGGTGCAGTCCTCCAGGGGCTTGGTTTTGTTAGGAGGTGTCCCACTGGTCTTCCCACACTGACCGGGCCGTAGGTTTTGTCTTCTGAGGGTCTCCTGCACCCCTCCCAGCCATCTAACTGGAAGCTCCAGAGCACCCGGCTTCAACCACCCTAGCAGCTCAGGTGCTTCCTCTCTGGATTCTGGCTTCTGCTTTTTTTTTTTTTTAAAGCCAGTTAAATTTAGCAGTGCAAGTTGTATATCAACTTTAGTGACACTAATGTTATTAAGTTCTGATAACCCACTACCATCGGACCAGCTTCTCCTTCATTTTTGACCTCTTGAGAGTTACTTTTTTTTTTTTTTTGAGATAGTCTCATTCTGTCATCCAGGCTGGAGTGCAGTGGTGCAACCTCCATCGCCTGGGGTCAAGTGATTCTCCTACCTCAGCCTCCTGAGTAGCTGGGATTACAGGCGCATGCCACCATGCCCGGCTACTTTTTTTGTATTTTTAGTATAGCTGGGGTTTCACCATGCTGGCCAGGCTGGTCTCGCACTCCTGACCTCGTGATCGGCCCGCCTCGGCCTCCCAAAGTGCTGGGACTACAAGCATGAGCCACCGCTCCCGGCCGAGAGTTACTTTCTTTCTAGTCAGCTCATCCGTGCATGTAAAACAGCTGGCGTTTTGAGTTATTTTCAGTGGGAGAACTGCTCGGCGTGTTTCGCTGCTGTATTGTGAGACATGGGAGTCTAAGGGACTTCTCCACTGTGTACTTCTATTACCCAGTCAAGACGAAAACAGGGCAAGACAACCACACTCTTCTCACACAATTGTACCTGAGTGGCAGCTCTGAAACCTGTCCCTGTAGTAGATTTAATTTTTGGACATGGCGTCTACAGTCAGCACCAGAGCCTTCACCATAAGCCTGAGAAACCAAAAAATATATTATATTTAAAAAGTGTTGGCAGAATGTTGAGAAACAGATCCATTTGAGATACACCTCGGGGAGGACAAAGCTGTATTCTGCAAGGCCCAAAGACCCCTAAAGCAGCATGGAGGAATCCTAATGACTGACTGCTGTCTCTAGAATCAGTTACAAACCAACCGTCTCTGGAACTAATACTTTAGATCTATGTGGCTATCCCGCAAGCACCCTGAACTCTACCTATTGAAGCCAAACTCAACCCAAAGCCCTACACAAAATGGTTAGTGAACATGAATAAAAAGGTCATAAGAGAAGTAACACATATTGCCACATTGTATAATATACTGCCAAAAAATATATGAAATGCTACTTACCTTCACTGATAATCAAAGGAATACAAAATACATTTTTTCCACTTAGCAGTCACAAATTCATCCAACAAGTATTTACTGAGTACCAACTAATGTGCAGACGTCATTTAGGGGCAGACGACACAGGAATGGACAAGACTCCCTGTCACCATGGAACTCACATTCAAGTGAGAAGAGACAGGAAAGAAACAGTAAGGCATGTAATGTATCAGACGCTAATACGTGCTCCTGAGAAAGACAGGGCCAGGAAAGAGGCCTTACGTAAGAGCATACCGTTTTACACAAGGTGTTCGAAGTGGTCAAGGAATGGATCTCTAAGAAGGTAAGGTTTGAGCACAAACAGGAAGATACGAAGGAGCAAGCCGCATGGCTGTCTAGGGGAAGAACATTCCAGCAGAAGCAATGACATGAAAATGAGTGTGAAGACCCTGAGCCTGGAATTTTGGAGGAACAGTGAAGAGGCCAGCATGGCTGGAGCTGAGTGGTTTAAGGAGAAGATGGTAAGAAATGAAACTTGAGAGTATGGGTCCTACTACAGGCAGAATCAGCTTTACAGGTATGAGATCTGCTCTGCTGTCACCTTCTTGAAATTCTTAACAATCTGGTCTTTGAACTTGTGTTTTGTAAGTGAAGTCTGCTGGGATAATGGCGCACATCTGTGATCAGACGCACACACTGTATGTGTCCACTCTTCCTCAACACCCCGCTGGCAGGAGCATTCTTGATGTCCCGTGAGCAAAGAACTCTGGTGGACTCCCAGTGCCTGCCAGCAGTGTGTCACGTGAGAACTGAGAACCAACCATTGTTTTTAGCAGCATGGAGACCACTGCCGACTCCGACACAAGCAATTGTAATGGACAGGTGGGGAGTGCAGCCCTGTTTGGAGCACATTCAAGTGAGAACGGAGGAGAGCAGCTGGAGGGGGGAAATGGCAAAGTTGAAAAAGACCAGGCTGGCATAACCAGAAGTGGTGTGCTCTTCCATAGGGCAGGGACTGCTGGCTGGATACTGAAGCGCATTCTTCCCGATGTGGGCACAAAACTAGACTTCATTTCCCAGTGTGCATGTAGTCGGGGTGGCCACGAAACCAGCCTCTTTCCATGGCAGTGTCACTTGTTTCCCAGCCTGGCCCTCAAAGCCTCCAGCAGCTCCTCTACGCACTTGCCTTTCTCAGTGGCTAGAAGCAGCTACAGATGAGCCTCAGGGAATAAAAGAAGCCCAAGATGGCAGGAACTTGGATCCCCGAGCAACCACATCAAGGGCAGCGGCCTGCTGACCTTATCGTCTTCCCAGGACTGTTACGAGAGCAAGAGAAACGTCTATTGCATTAAGCCACCACAATTTTGGTGTGTGTGTTACTGTGGCCTAGTCAGCCATACACCATATACCACACACGACACAGAAGCACCGAGGGGATAAGAAGCCTTCCTCAAGGAGAATGCAGAAATACATCTCAAACAAGCCATGCTCACCATGTGGGGTGTCTGCCTACCTGGTAAGCCAGCCCCTCTCTACTGAGACCCAATCCCAGTTGACTGGACCAGAGGTGGACATCCGAATCAGCCTGGGCCAACCAGATTGCTTCTCCTAGGAATTTATAACTGGGACTCAGCTCTTCCAGGTGGCTTGGAATGAGATTCTGTGGACTTGGAGCAGAGAATGTGACTGAACAGTCTGGGGAGAAACAGAAAGGGAAGGAGAGGAGAAAATAGAACAAAGATACAGGGAGAAGCTGGGTGATGGGGAGGAAAAGCTGAGGCCTGGCTTGTTGGGTGACGGGAGGAAAAGCTGAGGCCTGGCTTGTTGGCAGCTTTTCAATTCTTGGGGCTAGTTTTTCAAGGCATCAGGGATGAAGTTCTGCCCCTTGGATTCCCTAAGAGATCTCATTACCTTGCCAGCACTTTTTCTTGTTTTTAACTTTGCTGAACCCATTCTGAAGTGGTTTTTTTTTTTTCCCTTTAAAAAAAAAAAAATCAGCTGGGCGCCGGTGGTTCACGCCTGTAATCCCGGCCCTTTGGGAGGCCAAGGCGGGTGGATCATGGGGTCAGGAGATCGAGACCATCCTGGCTAACACGGTGAAACCCCGCCTCTACTAAAAAATACAAAAAAAATTAGCCGGGCGAGGTGCCAGCACCTGTAGTCCCAGCTACTCGGGAGGCTGAGGCAGCAGAATGGCATGAACCGGGAGGTGGAACTTGCAGTGAGCCGAGTTCGCACCACTGCCCTCCAGCCTGGGTGACAGAGGGAGACTCTGTCTCAAAAAAAAATAAAAAAAAGTATCAGGTGAAGGCACTCATCAACAGCAGGTGGATCACTTGAGGTCCGGAGTTTGAGACCAGCCTGGCCAACATGGTGAGACCCCATCTCTACTAAACATTCAAAAAACAAATTAGCTGGGCGAGGTGGCACGCACCTGTAGTCCCAGATACTCAGGAGGCTGAGGCAGGAGAATCGCTTGAACCTGGGAGGCGAAGGTTGCGGTGAGCCAAGATCGTACCATTACACTCCAGCCTGGGTGATAGAGTGAGACTCCATCTCAAAACCACTCCCCCCCCCCAAAAAAAACAGCAATTTAACTTCTAGGACTATGTCCTAAATAAACAGTAAACAGCCGGTCACGTGGATAAAGAGGTTTTTGTAAAAAGCTTCACTGTAGAGTTGTGCGTAACAGTCAAAAGGGAAATCAACCTAAATGCCCAACAAGGTTGGACCCGTTACTCACTCACTCAACAAACACCGAGCACTGTGCTAGGTGCTGAGGATACACCAGTAAAGAAAAAGCCTCTGTTCTCACGGAACTAAAGTCTTAGATGGACAATCTGCACATAAACACGACCATATAACTTCCATAGGATTCTGAGAAGAGGGAGGGGAACGCCACAGTGAGCACAAAGGCCCAAGAGGGAGCAAATTTAGGTTTGAGGTCAGAAAGAAAGCACATGGCTGTAGGAGAAAAGATGAGAGATGAAGGGAGAGGCGGCACTGGGGCTGGAGCAGGAAAAGAGCAAGTTCAGTAAGGCAAAGGATGCAGGACAGTTTGGGGTCTTCAGAGTTCAGGAGGGGGAATGTGGATGGACTGAAAAGATGTGCTCAATGCCAGATGCAAACAGCTGGATAAGAGCATTTACAGCCTGCCCCTGCCTGCCTGCACTTCCTGAGCCCACTCTCCCACACCCCCACCTCCACCAACAGCCTCTGCCCTTCCCCAGCTGCCCTGATTCCTCCGTCATCTTCTCACAGTCCCTGGTGCTTTCCTTTCCTTGTGCTCAGCCGAGTTTTAAATTATGTAGATGCGTGTGTGCATTAGTTTCTCTTCCCCTTCCACACAAGTGCATCTGTGAGGGCAAGAATGACAATGGGCTTACTTTCCACTGTTTCCCTCATGCTTGGCACACAGAAGGTACTCAAGAAATACTTGCTGAATGAAGAATCAAATGGCAGTACCTTTCCAGACACCACTCCATCCATTTCACTTCCTGAAGGAACAGGAAGCTCGGAAGCAGGAGCTCCGTGTCTGGGAACTTTGTGTGAGAGAGGATGATCCCAGCTGTGGCATTCTGGGACTCCCTGGAAGGGCTCACTGCAGGCCTGCGCCCCACCTGCTTTCTGTTCTGTAGACTCACCCGCAAAAAGGACTGCTTCTCTCCACAGGCTTTGCATGTCCACTTGACACTCTTTTTTACCTGCAATGAAATTTCAAAAATACAACTCAGATAATTATTTAAAACAAAATGGAATTGGGCTGGGCCTGGTGGCTCACACCTGTAATCTCCCTTTGGGAGGCCAAGACGGGCGGATCACTAGGTCAGGCGGTCGAGACCAGCTTGACCAACATGGTGAACCCCGTCTCTACTAAAAATACAAAAATTAGCCAGGCGCGGTGGCGTGCACCTGTAATCCCAGCTACTCAGGAGGCTGAGGCAGGAGAATCGCTTGAACCCAGGAGGTGGAGGCTGCAATGAGACGAGACTGTGCCACTGCACTCCAGCCTATGTGACAGAGTGAGACTCCATCTCAAATAAACAAACAAACAAACAGCAAAATGGAATCGGATCTGAAATTTCTTTTTTTCAATCCCAAGTAGCTGGGATTACAGGTGCGGACCACCAGGTCCAGCTAATTTTTGCATTTTAGTAGAGATGGGGTTTCACCATGTTGACCAGGCTGGTCTCAAACTCTTGACCTCAAGTGATCCACCTGCCTTGGCCTCCCACAGTGCTGGGATTACAGGCGTGAGCCACCATGCCTGGCCCGAAATAATTTTTTTTGTTTTTTGAGACGGAGTCTCACTCTGTCGCCCAGGCTGGAGTGCAGTGGCGCGATCTCGGCTCACTACAAGCTCCACCTCCCGGGTTCACGCAATTCTCCTGCCTCAGCCTCCCATGTAGCTGGGACTACAGGTGCCCACCATCATGCCCGGCTAATTTTTTGTATTTTTAGTAGAGACAGGGTTTCACCGTGTTAGCCAGGATGGTCTCCATCTCCTGACCTCGTGATCCACCTGCCTTGGCCTCCCAAAGTGCTGGGATTACAGGCGAGAGCCACCGTGCCTGGCCCTGGCCTGAAATAATTTTAAAAATGGATGGAAAGAGTCCAGAAACAAACCAACACATGTGTAAAAATTTAGCATATCATAATCATAAAGGTGGACTTTAAGAGTGAGAAAAGAACAGACTGTTTAACAAGTCTGGGTTGGTGCTGGGAAAACTGGCTATGTATATGAAACACAATCAAGTTGGGCTGGGTGCAGTGGCTTGAGCCTGTCGTCTCAGCGACCAGGCAGGCCAGGACTACTTGAGCCCAGGAGTTTGAGGCCAGCCTGGGTAGCAGAGCAAGAGCCTGTCTCTCAAAACCAAACCTAAACAAACAAAGAAACTCTGAAAAACCCAAGTGGAAACTCTAAAAAAAAATTCCGTATTTATTTTCAATTCTTGTTAAACCTGGGTCTAAAAAAAACTCCATAACATTTTCAGTTCTTGTTAAACCTGACTAGATGTGTTCTCTCTTAACATGATAAAATGCCTCAAACCCAGCTCTGATGCTGCAGAGTCTCTACCAGCGCTCCACCTGGAAGGGTTGCCTACTATTATTTACCATTTTTTTCTGGATGTACTAGCCAATGGAATTAGAAGAAAGTTGTAAGACGTATAAAAATTGGAAAGGAGGGCAAAACCCTATCATTATGTATCGATATAATTATAATACCCGATATAATTTTTTTTTGAGACAGAGTCTCACTCTGTTGCCCAGGCTGGATTACAGTGGTGAGATCTCGGCTCACTGCAACCTCCGCCTTCCAGGTTCAAGCGATTCTCCTGCCTCAGTCTCCCAAGTAGCTGGGATTACAGGTATGTGCCACCACACCCGGCTAATTTTGTAGTTTTAGCAGAGACAGGGTTTCATCATGTTGGTCAGGCTGGTCTCAAACTCCTGACCTCAAGTGACCCACCCACCTCGGCCTCACAAAGCACTGAGATTAAAGGTGTGAGCACCATGCCCAGGTGCTACCTGATATAATTTTTTATCCGAAAACCAACCAAATGAAATGAAAAGCCGCTAAAACCAGACAATCTAATATGGTGGTTAGGTACAAAATTAAGATACCTTCAAAAGTTAATATAGGTTTTATATGAGCAGACATCTAGTTAGAACACATAATGGATAAAGAGTCCATTTATAACAGCAACAAATAAAATGTTACCAAGGGATGCCAAGGTTACTTGAAGAAACGTAATAGATCATGCTTAACATCACAAAGATGTCTAGGTTGACTCGTTAATATTAATACGATTAATATGATCCTAATACAAAATCATGAGGTTTTTGGGGGAACTATCCAAAAGGATTCTAAGGAGGACAATGAGCACCTACCAAAAATGGAAGTAGGGAATGACTTAGCAATTTTACTTCTCAGCTTCTACCTTAAAACACCAATAAAACCGTGAATTTTCTATGAGTATGTAAGCAAGCTTTTTTTTTTTTTTTTTTTGAGACGGAGTGTTGCTCTGTCACCCAGGCTGGAGTGTTGTTGCATCATCTCGGCTCTCTGTAACCTCTGCCTCCTGGATGCAAGTGATTCTCCTGTCTCAGCCTCCCAAGTAGCTGGGATTACAGGTGCGCACCACCATGCCCTATATTTTTTGTCTTTTTAGTAGAGACGGGGTTTCACCATGTTGCCCAGGTTGGTCTCTAACTCCTGACCTCGTGATCTGCCCACCTTGGCCTCCCAAAGTGCTGGGATTACAGGTGTGAGCCACCACGCCCGGCCGAGAAAAGCATTTTTAAAAGTTTAGGACTCACAGTACCTGGTGAAGGGATGAACTCTGCGAACTGCTGAGATAGTATGGTTCTGACACTTACTAGATGGAGAAACCACTTGATTTCTGTGGATTCTGGAATTCTCGTGTAAGATGGGAATGACGCCTAAGTCAAAGGTTGTTGAAGTTAAACGTGTTAAAGTAGCACCCAGCTGACTTGCAATTAAAATGGTCAACATCCTCTTCGGTTTCAAGTAATTTTTCTTTGTTTTTGAGACAGGGTCTGGCTCTGTTGCCCAGGCTGGAGTCCAGTGGTGTGAACGTGGCTCACTGCAACCTCTGCCTCCTGGTCTGAAGCGATTCTCCCGCCTCAGCGCCCCTAAGTAGCTAGGACTAGAGATGCACGCCACCACATCTGGCTATTTTATTTTGAATTTTAGTAGAGACAAGGTCTCGCTGCGTTGCCCAGGCTGGTCTGGAACTTCTGAGCTCAAGTGATCTGCCCTAGTGGGCTTCCCAAAGTGCTGGGATTAGGGGCGTGAGTCACGGGGGCCAGGCAACTCACATTTCATAGGGTTGAAAATGACCATAAGGGTCAGGGGAGCTGGCTCACACCTGTAATCCCGGCACTTTGGGAGCCAAGGCGGGCAGAACACTTGCCCCAGCCTGGGCAACACGGCCGAAAACCCCATTTCTACAAAAAATATAAAAATTAGCTGGGGATGGTGGCCCGCACCTATAGTACCAGCTACATGAGAGGCTGAGGTGGATCAGCTGAGCCTGGGAGGTGCAGGTTGCAGCGAGCTGTGATTGTTACCACTGCACTCCAATCTGGGCGATAAAGCGAGACCTTGTCTCAAAATAAATAAGTAAATAAAAAAATAACACTGGTGAATATGGAGGAGTGAAACAGGGAAACAAACAAGGAAATAGAGGCCGGGCGTGGTGGCTCATGTCTGTAATGCCAGTACTCTGGGAGGCTGAGGCGGGTGGATCACGAGGTCAAGAGACGGAGACCTTCCTGGCCAACATGGTGAAACCCCGTCTCTACTAAAAACACAAAAATTAACTGGGCTTGGTGGCGGCCGCCTGTAGTCCAAGCTATTCAGGAGGCTCAGGCTGAAGAATCGTTTGAACCTGGGAGGCGGAGGTTGCAGTGAACCGAGATCGCGCCACTGCACTCCAGCCTGGTGACAGAGTGAGACATGAGACTCCATCTCAAAAACAAAAAAAGGAA